TTCAAAGTCACTCGGCCGACTCACCTAGATAGACACCTATTTCCAAAGGAACCACCTTCTTGCAACATATTTAGTAATTATATTCATCTTGATAACATCCTTCTTGACAATTTTATCATTGATGGAACTCTCAGCCTGTGAAGGTGATTTGGATTTTCCCCCTTTCTGACCTTATGTTCTGTGACGAGCATTCTGTAGAGCAAATACCATTTGTTATGTTATCTCGGGAAACCACGGCACTTCTTCCCAGGAACTGCAGCGAAAATTCTTTCTTTCTTGCAGTCCATCTCTGCCCGTCAAGTCTGCATTAATGGAGTGGAAGGCAGGTCCCTTGCCTCTTTCAACGTTATTTTCAACCCTATTGCAGTAGGGTCCAGGCACACTCTGTGGGGATCCTATGGCCATCAAGCCCAGGATGAGAATTTTAAGTGTTTGACCTTTAAGTCATTGTTCAAATCCAACCACAACAGAAGAAGTTGAAAAGGCTTTAAATCAGCGAGTGTTTTCACATTGCTCAAACATGTTCCTACAATTTGGCAGAGAAGATGAACTTTGCGGACCTCTGGTCCTCACTCCCTATAATCAGTTCACAAAAATGAAGTGCAGCTGTCCTTCCTGCCCTCTCCCTAAATCCACCCACAGGGGCCGCTAGTCCACCAGGGGTCAGCCATTCCAACTGACCTTGGCCATGGCAAGCCAGGGTACCAACTGGTCCTGCCCACCCGGCCTGCCGTCCAGCTCAACAGCCTCCACCTGTCCATCCATGACTTCCCTCTTTCTCTCCTTGGAAAAGAGCAGCCTCTGCCCTGGACCCCAAGAGGGAATCACGGTGCCTGACCTCAACCAAGTCCCCTTGAAGGCAGCCTGCACAAGTCAAGCTTTAACACGTGTTAATGAGGCATAAATTCATCAATAAACTTGTTTTAATACTGCCACCCATTAAAATACTACAGTGAAGGGGCACCTGGGTGGCTCAGTTGGTTAAGTTTCTGACTTTGGCTCAGGTCATGATCTCGCGGTTTGTGGGTTCGAGCCCTGTGTGGGGCTGTCTGCTGTCAACTCAGAGCCAGCTTCATATCCTCTGTCCCTCTCTCTACCCCTCCCCACTCTCTCTCTCAAAAATAAATAAACTTAAAAAAAATAAGTAAATAAAACACTACAGTGAAGACAGGATGTGATGAATTCCTGAAGTGCTATGTGCTGTCTTTCCTATCATTTGATACATTTAGCATGAGGGCCTTCTGCCCATTACATGATGAATCTGTGGCTAGTCAACAAGAGTTTTAGAATCACAAATACACATTTTTGAGCAACATTCTTAATAAGCACTAATACAACCATATTCCAAATGCTAATCACTAACAATTCTTTAAGGCAGAATTTCTAATATATCTTGAGGAATGAAAAGACAGACTATAATTTTTAGAAACTCATTAAAGGAAATTTAAAAAACACATAAAAGAAGCAAGTATTAAAAAACAAAATCTCAGGTCTACTTCCCAAACACAAGTCCTGCTTGCTTTCTCCCACTACATTTCAAAATAGTGGAGCTGTCCCACGGGGCTCACAATTGTGTTGGGGACCTTGGGGCTGAGGGAGTAAAGAGTGAAGAAACGCAAGAAGAAATGGTGAATTGTGGTGCCTACGTGGCTCGGTCAGTTAAGTCTCTGACTCCAGGTTTTGGCTCAGGTCATGATCTCACAGGGTGTGAGACGGAACCCTGCATCGGGCTCTGAGCTGACAGTGTGGAGACTGTTCGAAACTCTCTTTCCTCCTCTCTCTCGGTCCCTCCCCGGCTCTCTCTCTCTAAAATAAATAAGTGATATATATATAAAAGAAGGTTTAAATATATAACATATTTCTGTACAGAAAGCTCATGAAGAAGGAGGAGGAGGAGGAGGAGGAGGAGGAGGAGGAGGAGGAGGAGGAGAAGAAGAAGAAGAAGAAGAAGAAGAAGAAGAAGAAGAAGAAGGAGAAAGAGGAAGAGGGGGAAGGGGAGTGGAGGGGAAGGGGGAGGAGGTGGAGGAAGAGAAGTGATGCTGAGTTGAAGAAAAGGCATCAGCCAGAGGAAACAGATCAGGGAGAAGGAAGGCCAGAAAGAGTGTGTCCACCATGGGAAGAGCATGTCCACAGTTCCTAAGGCAGAGCAAGAAACACTGAAGAACCACATGGGGTCAATAAAGCCGCCGCAGAGGATGTCACCAACTGTCCTGGTTTGCCAGAGACTGTCCCACTTTTAAAACTGAAAGCCCTCAGTACCAAGCAAATCAGAATGACCTCCTATCAAACATGATATTATTCCCTATGGATCCTTAAATTGGCCTTCTTAGAAATCGCAAGTCTCTAAGTTTCTACCAGAGAAGACATGAATCCTTCCTCTTCGAAATGACCTATGCTAGAAAAGACTCCACCATAATCTTTTTAGTTAATTGCTTAAATGCTAGCCAAATTACACAGCTTTGTACCACTGACATTGGACCAATCCAGGCTGGGTCATCTGTCTTCTGTCCCCTGTGATCCTGGAACAGACAGCATCCCTGCAAAGTGATGTAGAGACTGTTTTTTTTTTTTTTTAAGTGTATTTATTGAGAGACAGAGAGGGGTGGGGAGGGGCAGAGAGAGAGGGAGAGAGAGAATCCCAAGCAGGCTCCATGCTCAGTACGGAGTCCCAGGCAGGACTGGATTCCACTACCCTGCGATCATGACCTGAGCCAAAACTAAGAGTCGGACACTCAACTGACTGAGCCACCTAGGTGCACTCGAGGTAGAGACTTCTGTCCTACCACAGGTGGTAGAGACCACCTCGAGGTAGAGACTTCTGTCCAGCCACAAACTCATGCGAGATGTTGCGATATGACCGCGAGGGTTTCCTCACCCTGCCTCTCAGAAGTTCCCGATCCCCACTGGAAACTCTGGGTCTCGGGGTGCTGCGCTGCCCTCAAATCCCTCTCATTCATTTTCTCAGCTAGTATTTGAGTATTCCAGAATGCGAGGCCCTCTGCTCCGTCCTGGGGGCATACTGATGGGCAAGATAGGCTTTGGCTCACGAGAGCACGTTCAGCCAGCCGTGGCTGGGAAGGGAAGAGAAAAGAGGCTCATCTGAGGCATTGCAGAACTTTGGCACAGTGCCATATGGCGATGTGAGATGCTTCTGTGAGCCCATTGGAGAGAAACATTTGGGGTAGGGGGATTCCAGGGGTTTGGCCTCAAGTCTCCTCCTTTTTCAGCCCTTTGATCCCATTCTCCGCTAACTCTGTAGGAACATCAATCTCTGCTATTCCTTTCCTTTCTTAAATATTTTTGGTCATCCCTTCCATCTTATTGAATTTGTACATGTATTTTAAACATTTTTAAATATATCCCGGGTAGGATTGAAGCCAAGAAGCTGGATTTTTCTCTTTCTGTTGAATCTTCTCAAATGTGTGATCCTTCACATTGGTATCCACTTTATCAGCATTTATTCTCATTTTTAACCTATTTTTTTATGTTTTAAATTCCAAGAGAGCTAGTATACAGTGTAATTTCCCCCACCCACTATTTCCCCCCCACCACCACCCACTTCCCCTCTGGTGACCATCAGTGTGTTCTCTAGAGTTAAGAGTCTGTTTCTTGATTTGTCTCTCTCTTTTTCCTTGACTCGTTTTGTTTGCTTGTGTCTTAAGTTCCACATATGAGCGAGATCATATGGTCTTTGTCTTTTTCTAAGTGATTTATTCGCTCAGCATTATACCCTCTGGGTTCATCCATGTCGTTGCAAATGGCAAGATTGCATTCTTCCTTATGACTGATTAACATTCCATTGTACATAAAAACCACCTCTTTATCCATTCATCTATCGATGGATACTGGGTTGTTTCCGTATCTTGGCTATTTTAAGTAATGCTCCAATAAACATAGGGGTGCACGTATCCCTGTGGATTAGTGTCTTTGCATTGTTTGGGTAAATACCCTGTAGCACTCGGGAAGGTCCGAGTTTATAGTGCTTCCATAATAGCGCTTATTCTCTTCAAACCCTCTAATTTCTGACATTTCTTTCCGCACTAATAAATGGGATTATGGTTATCTTCAAAGATTCCCAACGATTTCTAAAGTGCCCATGTCATTTCGTAAGTCTAGCGTATGAGTGGCATCTTGGTCAAATTTTCAACTTCCATGGTTTTTGCACTGAGATGTGTCCTCCAGATTGTAGTCAACAAAGCGTACCTAAAGCCCCACACTCACCTCATTTCTGTGCTCATAATTCTCCACAACCTTCATGCCATCACTTTACCATATCCTGTGAGCAAGCCTCGCTGACTTCCCCAACTTTGCCTTTCCCTACTCGTTCTCTCTATGGAACTTTCCTGTCTCACCATGCTCATCATGCTCAAATATGGGGTTTTCACTGTGACCACCATGACTTGTCCAGGGCTGAGCTTTTTACATCAAAGGCATGTTCCCTTTCTTCCTCTGAATTACCATAGCCTTTTCCTTTCCCGTATGCAGCTTGCCTTTTGTGTGGAGGTTTCTCCAACCACAGAAGTCCGTGGTGACTCCTTACGCACTGATGGGCTACACAACCGTCATTGGGACCATCTCATTCTGCCCTATTTCTTCAGTGTATGTTTGCTGTGTTGGATTGTTCAAGACTGACGAGTGCCTCACTCATCTGTATTTTCCATTCACATACAGTATTCACAAACATATTATTTGACTTGAAAATTCAACTACTCATCAATGACAGGTGATAGCTGTTCAGATTCTATACTAACTTGATTATTATCCTTATTACTTACCTGGTTCCCCTCCAGTATTTTTGCCCGGATATTTTAATTTTAAAATGACCAGGAAGTCATCATCCAGATTGGTGGCCCCCACTTCGTTGAGTATAAGAACTCCTTTGTATGCGTCATAGTGAATTATATTTTAAGTTATAACAGGATCTATATAGAAACCATTAATCAGTGGTTAGGGACTGGGGTTCTAGAGGAAGCACACGTACATTTCATCTTGACTTGTTAATAAATCTCCATCTTAAAGACGGGGATTTTCATATTATCTAAGTCATGATCAGTGGTAGGCTTAATGAAAGATAATGCACATATAGTTCTTAGTACATGATAATCACTCAATGAATGATCGATCCCTGGAAGTCCGGGATATTTGTAGAAGCTATTGAGAATCACACATGGATGGAAGCGAATTCCTCTTTACTACTCTGATTTATTATGTAGCACTTTGCACATTCTCCCCGCTTCGTTCAGTTTCCCTGTTACTGCTGTCTCTTCCCACCCGGACCAGGACTCCACATGTGTTCTATCACCAGTGCTGAGAACAATGTCTGGAGTCTCACCTCATTGCTGAATGACTAAGTGGTGGGCAAGGGAATCTACGGCCATCCAGAATTATAAAATGTCATCCCATAAGAATCACAAAACATGGGCATCAACAGAGCTATAAACTCGGTTCTGGAAAGTGTGAATTACAGATTCGGAAAGAGAGTCCTCCTTATCCTTCGAATGGAGGAAAGAAACTTTCGAGAAGGCCCTAACACAGGCATTGGGTGAGAGTAGGGGTGCATGCGGGGTTCTACCCCGACAGGTACTTATGATGCCGTTCTTGCTCCAACCCGTGCTGGCCAGCTCGCTGAAATGCCAGATTAGTTTGTTTTAGCAGCTCTTGTTTGTTAACACAGGCAGCTCCAGTGATGTGAAAAATGTGGCAGTTGTTACATATGATGTATTCCTTTGGCTACAGGTGCAGTTCTATGTCCTGTACCGTTTACTCATGCGGGGGATGTTTCCCACAAAAGTTAAGGTATCCAGGTGACCATTGACTAGGGATCAGCCAATAAGCTCAGATTATGAGGCCAAAGGTAATTTAATAGGGACAGGTAGTCGTGGCTGGTGACATTATTTCCTTGGGCAGTTTTAATGACCAGACATAAGAGTCCTGAAATATGTGAATGACTTAATAGCTCACAGTACAGCATGGAAGCCTTAGTCATTTGGCATAACAAACTGTGATGAGACACAAACACATTCTCCAAGCAGCAAACACACTCAGGCTTAATTCCATAATTAGTAAATTGCATAATATTTGCAACTTCTTATGTGAGATGTCAAAGAACACCCCGCATTTGAGAACAATTTAGACAGCCAATCACATTGAAAATCCCGGTCCTGTCAAAGCAGAGGGTGATGCTGAAGTCCAAGTATTTAATCCCATCTATAATTGTTGCCGAACATTTAATACGCATGTAGAAGGAACAAGATTATGGAATGGTTTGGTCAAAATACTAAGAAAAGTTTCAGAAGTGAGATACATACAAACTATTTTCCAAATCTCTGGACATTCTCAGTTTGGATGCTTCTTAAGTTAACACAACATCTGATTCTTCATCGGTATTAAAAATTCAATGTCAGCTTGAGGAGATGTGTTGAGCCTTGTATAAATGATCTTTCAAGGGTGTCTGTGATGGAATCATAAGGTCATATATGAGAGTGTTTGTAAAACGCAAAATGGCATAGTTTTCCTAGGTTCTGCTTGTCCCAAAGTTCTTAATAAGTTTTGATTTTGAGACAGGGACGTATTGTGCATTTCTTATACCTTCTCTCAAATACAGAATTTGCGCGTATATAACAGTTGCAGGTGATGATTTGAGGATTTTGCTTTCGTGGAGTATTATTGTAGGTGTGTATAACAGGTGTGGTGCGAGGGGTTTGTCGTGTATGCGGTGGTTGTGGTGTTGTGATGTGTGTGTGCGCGCTGCGTTGTGGTGGTTGTATGTATGGGGTGTGTGTGTGCGTGTGTGTGTGTGTGTGTGTGTGTGTGTGTGTGTGTGTGAGGGGGCCGTTAGCAAACCGAGGCACCGCACAGAGGCATGCCTGTAACTCGCAGCAGGCTGGCTGGGACTTGGTGGGAGGTACTGCATGGATTCTCCGGTTTTCTGACGCTCATTTGAGCCGCCTGACTGCATTTCTTGGAGAGACGCTCCTTGTGCAAGACCTTGATACATCACTCTTCCCATTTCCCGAGCGAAGGACGCATCCTTGCTCTGAAATTCGGAGCCGGCGAGCTGAAAGGGGACCGAACAGCTAGTTGCTACTCCGCATGTGTCCAGAGGAGGCACCGTACATGCGTCTCTGAGGGAAGCAGAGAGCGGCTAATGGGACTTGGCTGGAGAAGCAGGGGAAGTCAAACAAAATACAGTCCGTGCTGCCCTAAGGGTCAAGTCCTGATTCAGGAGCGTCAGACGCCTTCTGGTGAGGGGCTGAGATGAGTGTGTCTTTTTACCTAACCGCCAGTGCTGCTATTGAATCATTATGGCTCTGGTACATTCTGAATGCCGGCCCAGGTGCCGATTGTTCTAAAATGTGTCTACGTGGGAGTTAGGGCCACTCACTTCTGCTTTGTAACCTTAAAAAAAGTTCATCACGTAAAAGCAGTTATAGCTCCTTGTAACCGGAAATAGTGTGACTTGTCCTTTGAACCTGCAACGTCCTAACCAACTGGCTTACCTCGACTCTGCCATCCTGACGTTAAACAGGTGCATACACACCCCAGACTCCGACTGTACCAGCCAACCAACACTAGTTGGTATCACACTCCTTTCCTCCCCACGGAAGTGCTTTGGTTGTCATCAAGTGTGTCTTTGATCCACTAAATATTGTCCATGACCCTGGGAAAATGTTCCTTTCGTGAGGACATCCTACCAGATTTCTAGGATTTTGGTTTTCCATCACTCAGTCGGGGATTTGTAGGACGCCATATTTGGATAGACTAATTCTGTTATTTACTCTGCCCCCCAAAGCCCGCTCAGTGCGTATGGCATTCAAATACTTCCCTTTTCTTAAAGGGTAACTTCGCAGTGGTCTATCTTGGATTTCATCCATTCTCTTTTGCTTCTATACCAGTATGATCTCTGTTGTAAGCAGAAGGCTCTACTCTGGCCCTCACGCTTCATATCAAATTGCCGCAAAACCCTAATATCTGAGAATAGCCACAGCTCGTACCTCTCACCGATCACTCTGTCCTTTAGTGGCCCTGGAGCCCTGTCACAACTCAGATTAAATACCACCTTCTGTAGAGTTTTACCTAAATCCACTTGTCCTCGCCATGGTCAGGGCTGTCCATCCAACACATGTTCTCTGCTTGATTATCCTTGTGTGTATACACGTTCTTTCTAATTTAACTGGGAAGAATATAAACATAAGAGATCCAGTTACCTCTATGTTGTAAACATCCTCAGATTATTTAGGGAATCACAACACCTAAACCACTCATAAATATATGCTACAAACATGTATTTCTAGCTAACACATTTTGCTATCTTAAAGAATGTCTCCTCAAAAGTTTGCACATCAGTGAGGTGCGTATACACATAATGAGAAAAACAATAGCCCGGAAAAGGAGAAACAGTAATCAGGAAATTAAGTTTTCCAATCATTTTTCAATAGAAATATGGATAATAATTTTCTCTATTAAAAATAAGAATAAAGAAATATTTATCCATTCATCATAGCTGTTTATGAGTGCTGTGACATTCTAATAATCCCTTTATTAAAAATGAGACAAGATGTCTCCATATTTTATTCATACTTAATTTCTCTCTTGGCTGACTTTCTAAAATCTTACACAGTACACATCCTGTGAGAATCTCAATCAAAAATCATATTGATTTCCTCTCTTTTAGCAGGTAGGATCAAATTCATATGATTCTCTTCATATAACCGTTTTACTCAATGATGGACTTGAACATATTTCTGAAGAAAGGTAAAGAAAATCGCACGAATATCTAATAGCACTAAGTTTGCAGTTATAGAAATAAATACACGGTACAATAATCGTACGAAATACCATTCTTGAAAGAGGTGATCAATTTAAGTCAAACTGTGATCTGGCATGTTTAACCCTTGCCACAATGATATTAAAAATTAGGATATGAAAGCTCATAGGAATGACAGATTACTTAGAAATTAAACCAATGTACTTCTACCAATAGTGTTCTTTCCACTTCTATTGTAATTCTCCTACTTTACGTTTAGACTGGAAAACATAAGTGAATAGACCTCAAAGGTCTAGATCAGGCATCTTTTCTATAATAACTTTCTGTTTGATTTCTTCAGACGGCTGAAAACATAATTTCGGCACGTCACCACACACTTCTTGTTTCACTACTTTCATATTGTTTTACCTGCTAGAGGAAACTGAGTGCCTGAAGGAAATAAACTCATGCCTTCTAATTCTTTTCTATTCCTGCCCACTCTTGGCCTCATGTACGAGGTGCTCAGTACATGCGGAGTGAAATTCCAGAATTGCCAGATACCAAATGATGTCTTTGAACATCTCTATGCTTCGGCTTGGCTTTTCTTATGTTCAACTTTATTATTTTCATAAAGGGTAAAATTGTGAAGCACATCAAAGATCTGGGGAGCAAATACAAAAAAAGAAAAAAGAAAAAAGAAAAAAAATGCCTTTAAGATCTTAAAATGTATTTGTTGAAATATGAAAACATGCAGGATAAAAATAGAGAACATTTCAGACCCATGTCATTATCCCTGGACGTTATTTTTCACCCCCAGAGAACTAATTATGTCGATTTCTATATTCACTGAAATGAAAAGAGTACTTCAGGATGGGTTGGTCAGGGAAGCATATGGTGTTTGCTCTAGCTTTGGAGGATGATCCATGAAGAGAGGGAAAGGCAGTCAAATGGTCTCAGCCATGCAGAGAGGGAAAAGCAAGAAGAAGAAAAGACATTTTTAACATATAACAGGATATTGTAGAGGATTGCTATTCACATTTGGGTACACAGGGTAGGATTAGAACATGATAAGCTTCGGTTCTATAACTCTCTCACTAGAATACATGGCTTCAGTCTATCCGTCCTGCTTACGTTAGAATACAGAGAGCCCCAAAGGAAATATCGTGTTAACCATGGAGTTATCTTCCTGATAAGTAGAGGAGATTGCTACTAAGCTTTTAAGATCAGTAAGCCTCGCAACTATGACACAACACCAGGACATCTTGAAGACAAAGCAATAAAACCAAACAGAGGGATTAGAGAGAGGATCTCTGGTTTTCTAGCCAAAAAGGTGAGATTCAAATTTGGAGAATATTTTAGTCTATGTGCTGCTGAAGCCAGCACCACGTGACCAGAGGAGAGGGGAAGGGGGGGGGGTAGAAACAGGTCATGAGGATTAAGGAGTGCACTTATTGTGACGAGCTCCAGATGACGTATGGAAGTGCTGAAACTACACTCTACACCTGAAACTAATATTACACGGCACGTTACCTGTACTGGAATCAAAACATTTTTAGAAACCCCACAAATGTGGTGGGTTATTACAAATTGAGGTTAAGTGCATGAAAGATTTATTGGTATGCTATTAACACACAGAATGAATCTTATTTGAGAATTTAAATATTATTTATTCACCTGCACACTTGCTTTAGTTTGCTACCTACCAAATGTGTAGGTTTGCTTTATGACAGCTCATTGCCCGATAACCACCTGCATATTTATTAAATTTATAAGCAGTAAAATATGCATGCTAAATTAAAAACATGTCTAAAGGAGAGCCAAGATGTTTCCAATGAGGAAAAACCTAAGTATGGTTTGCCAAAGGTTTTAATTAATATAGCAATTGAGTGACATTAACAGAAGTAATAGATCTATTCCAAAAAAAGGAAAATAGTGAAAATATAAAGGAAATACAACTATATGTATATATACATGGTTTAAAACCTCATCAAACTATACCCTTGAGATGGGCACATTTCACTTTATAGAAATTATACCTCAGTAAAAACCAGTTAATGAATAAAGGGCAAGGACAGCTCTATAAAAGTGATTAGAAAAAGTGGGAAACGGGTAATAGCAAAAATGAGAGAAAGGTTTCAGAAAGAATAGAGCAATCACGTTGCAGGTACACAGAGAACAGAATGAAAGTATTCGGCGGGTTGATAAACACTGTTGCAGAACGTTATTTTGGATATGAAATGATCCCTGGTCAGACACTAGCACGTGTAAAAGCAGGACTTAGCTGGGGCCAGGGTAAGTATGAACTGCGTGTCAAAACACAAACACACGCTGCATGAGCTCGAGGGTGCAAGGAAGTGTGCAATTAGAACTGTGGCTGAAAATCTCAGAGAGCCCAAGAGCTCAGGAGGTTCCTTCCCCAGGATGGGGGCTGAGGGGCCGGGGAGGTTGGTTCCCCCTACTCCTCAGGTCCTCTTCCAGTCTGCTGGCAAACACCCACGCAATGTGATCTTTTCTTGGGTGCTTTTACTTAAACTGTGCTTAAGAACTGACTACTCTTTTGCCCATGCCCCAAGATACCCGGTCATGTGACTCTGGGACACATGATCATATGCCTGGGCAGCCCTTCAGGGTCCAGCGGGGAGGTACATCCACAGCACCCCGTCTCCATGTGCCCAGCACACAGCACCAAGCTGCCCCACAGAAGGCACTGGTGCACTGATGGTGAACATTCGAAGAACCAACACAGGACTGATTTCTCACTCAAGAAATAGGTATTGAGCTCAACACTGGCAGGTTCTGTGTAGGAACCAAGGAGGACAGACATGAACATGAGGTGAGCCAGGAGTAAAAATCTTTCCTTCCAAATCCCCCTTTTCCCTTAAGAAGACGAAGGGAGAGGAGGAAGAGGAGGAGGAGGGGGAAGAGGTAGAGAAAGAGGAGGGAGAAGAAGAAGGTGAAGGAGAAGGAGAAGGTGAAGAAGGAGAAGAGGGGGAGGGGAAGAGGCAGAAGAAAAGGGCACCATGCGGACGATTCAGCAGATTCCCTTTTTTTTCCAACCACTTTTTAGCGTTAGTTTCTTGAACAAGATTTAGAAAAGCGTGGGTTAAGATTTACTAAAAACATATAATCTCAGAATCTCCTCTGGATGAAGAACCCCATAAAACCCCACCAAGCGTCAGCGTGTTGCAGAATCTCTCAGCTCCGGATGGCCGTGGGCCTGTCTGATTGGATTATAAATCTGTGTTAGTTGACCTCCCATTTGAAGTAACCATTCCAAGCACCACTTGTGAACAAAGGTTTGAATGAACAAACTTGCCAAAACAACCTTGAGGAAGATGATGTTGTGCAGATCAAACTACAGAAATCCAAAGAGCCTCATTCACTTAGAACTTTTTTTTTAATAACATGAAAAATAAAAAATATTTACCAGCTTAAAAAACTGATAAGATACTTAGGAATTCTGAGCCATATGATAGATTTAGAATGAGGATATATATACTGCCTGTTACGATAGGAACCTTATTACTAGTCAACAACAAATTTAGAATCAAAAGTAAGGGTCGCAAGAAACATTTTTAGTAAACACTAACTAACTAACACTGGTATCTTTCTTATACCAGTAACTAGAAAGGTCTTTCATGTAGAATTTCTTATCTATTCTGAGGAATGAAAGAAAGAACATCCTTTCCACAAAAATGCTGAAAAGCAAACTGAATAAAAATTCAGAGACTCATCATATCTTCTTTCC